TATATATATATATAGAGATATAGATATAGATATATATTTCTTAGAGTGTTACTACTCTAAGGTATATTTTAAGAGCGGCCATGACTGTACTTACAAAGCTAGCCATATGGATTAGTATGTATGTGTGAGTGCCTGTACGTATCTATATGCATACGCTTGTCGGTATTTCGTTTCGTGTGATTCCAGCTTCTGTTTCGAAGCGATTCTTTCGGTTTCTTCGTTGCGACAACCGTGATGAAACGTCGGAAGACATATGATCTCTAGTTCATTTCATCATGTAATTAATATCACTTTCTCTAGTACCTTAATTTCTAAGCTCAGTATTGTGCAATGTGTATACATTCCAATGTCACTTTATTATTTAGGTTCTCTATTGTCTTCTCTCTTTTTTCTTCTTTTGTTTTTTTTTAAGAAGTTTACAATATTTCACATGTGGAAGAAGCGTACAACTGTGCGGCGCAATTCTCATAGTTTTGTATATATTTATATGAAAAAAATGTGACAAAATACATAATTTATACATATTCCTCATTGGGTGATCGCGTGTTTTCTATATCCCTTTTCATTTACTCTTTCTCTTTTATTAAATACTACGGCGTTTGCAACGGCTCTGTGATCAATATTCGTCGATAAAAATTATCTTTATTCTCATTGAAAATATAAATAAATTACAAAATATAGTATAGGTTAATATTCGGAAGATCGTCGTCTTTAACATAAAGTCATTGCGATATCGCGTGAACGCCGAGCGCTACCAGACAGCATTTTATCCAGCATTTATTATCGAGACATCATCGACAAGTCTTAGTCATACTCAGCATTTTGATATCATGTTTCTACTAAGGTACGTTATACACAGACAGATGTAATCCATGTCACTAGAAGATTTCGCACAATAAGGTATAAGTATGTGTATATGTGTATATATATATATATATATATTATATATATAAAACGATGTGCAAATGTCAGAGATCTTGCTGTGCAAATCCAATCAGAATTCAATTCTTAGTTATGCGTCTGCCAATGAGTTATCAAAGTTCTATCCGTGTACGATTTTTATAATTGGATCTGGCTGACTGTGGCACACGCACATCACGGTTAACTGCTAGGACTAGGAAATTGTCATCGTCATTGCTACACAGTGCTTTCAGTGTCAGACGCCATAGACAACGTTTGGAGCTTCGGCACGGAATAATTTTCCGAATGACCATGTGACTGTGAGCGATTCGATACTCTTTCCAAGGTTGATGGGGCCGACGGGGTATCTTGATGTGCTTTCGGTGGTATTGGCGGTGGACTCACCTGAAACGTAAAATAACGAACATCGATAACGTGGAACGCAATTGAAATTCTGGCGGATTGAAACAATCACCTCTTGGCCCGGTAAAGAATGTGATCCCTGAAATGTACCGCTCGCGAAATTTCCAGTAGAAACGTTCAATACGTTTATCACAGACGGAGGTGATATATTCATAATGTCGTTGCACCTTGCCCGTGGCTCAAAGTCCTCGTAGCCGAGGTTGTTTAAATTAGTCAAGTGCGACTGGAAATCTAATAAGCTAGCAGTCGATATACCGCTGTCGCGAAGATCGTTCGGTTCATTTTGCGCTTCCGAGTCGTCGTCTGTACTCCATTCCGTGTTACGTTTGTACGCTAAACGCTTCGGTGGTGCTGGTGGTACCACGATGTTCGTGTTCGTATCTCTCTTATCGGGCGCTGTAAACATTGAATTTTTTCAATTGGACTCGTGTGTGCTGTGTAATACAAAAATTCTTTTCAAATTATAGTCGAACCTGTTTTCGTGCGATTTGTTTTGTTTTTTTTTATTTTCTCTGCGATTTTATATTTGTTTCCCACGTTATCATCAGAAATCATTGCGCTAGCACATAACATCTGCGGAGAAGGCTCGAAATGATTAAGGACGAAACCGTCAATGATAGTGATATATTATCAATAACTTGACAGATTTTGAAGGCAAACAAGAAGAACCGAATTCCATGACAGCGGATGAAAATATATGCAGGGATTCAGCTTTGCAACAAATTGGAAAAGCATTTTCTTAAAATTGATAACATTTCCGAAAGGCGTTTGAAATTCCAAAAAGAACTTCGATCATGTATGCCTGGCTATCGTGACGTTTACAAGCAGCTGATCAAACGACCGTCGTCGCAAAAACTTATCACCGACTTCATGGTAACAAAAAAATAAAGCAACTGTAATATGTTCAAGTGAGGAAAGCGATTTTGAAAGAGTT